ATCGGAAGAAGATATGCAAATTCTTCTTTCAAAATAAAAACAGTCTAGACATGCCCTCAGGCAGGCTCCCTGCTTGCCTCTCTTCACTCGCACACAACTCAAACACGGCTGTGGGATGGTTTCACTTTTAAAACTGAGGCTAGGATGGGGGGGGAACTTTAGGAGCTGCTTCCGCCCCCAGCACAATCCCATTGGCCAAATTCTGGCTAATGGGAGCTTCCTGTTTCAATAACAGGCAGTCACGAAGCACGAGGGGCTCGTAGTTATTCACAGACCACATGGCTGAAGCCTGTGCAGGGGTGGAGCAAGCCAGGCTGATTCAGGAACAGGCTGCTGACTGGTAAGTCTCTTAGCCAGGCCTTCCCTTCACCAACCCTCTGCCCCCCTACTCCACATACCCAAATCCTCTGCCCCCCTCCCGCACTCATACCCCCTCCCAGATCCAGTACCCTAATCACTTGCCCTAGATCACAGTCCCCACCTGCCCTAATTCACAACCCAAATCCCTGTACCCTCATTCCTTGCTTTAGGTCACAATCCAACCCCCTGCACCCAGTCTAGTGCACCAGGTCACAACTGCCTCCTTCACCCACATTCTCTCCCACACCTAACCTCCATCCCAGACCCCACACCTCCTTCATTAATATCATGGAAGAGTGCAGCCCTCAACCAGTTTCCAAATTCTTGGAGTGGCCCCCCCTCCCTATCAAAATTATTGCCCTTGGAAACACCTAAGGAACACTTGACAGATGCATTACTGTCCATATACATGTACCTGAAGTACATGCTGAAAACAACATCTGCAACACTATTATAACGTTGTTATAAAAACATGTACAAATATAAAGTTTGCTAGCCTTATTTTATAAAATAAGTTTTAATGCCAAAAAATGAAGTGTGGAAACAGAAAAATGTGTGGACATAAAGTTGTGGTTTCCAGGTTAGATTTTTACTGTTTCAAAATTGTTAACACAGGCTTGTGGATTAAATTGGTTGATTCATAGTAGAGTTTAGAAAGCAGTGTGTCTACCATTCTGATTCGACTTGAACCAGTTTTGTGAAGTTGGAAAAAAAATCCCCCCTAGATCAGATTGGCAGCAACCTTCAGAGTTTTTCACCTTTCTCTGCAGCCTGCGGTTGCAGGTCACTTGCCAGGATTAGCTAAGTAGATCATACCAATTATTTCCCTACCATTTCAGGGCCTTTTGGCACTTGGTGCATCTCGTTTCCTTATATTCTCTGATGACACAGTAAGTAGTGTCCTGTGAGTTGTAATACTTTGTCTCATATCAGTTGGCTAACATGTGAGTGCTGGATAAACTTAAACAACAAATAGTCTAGTAGCATCTTAAAGACTAACAAAACATGTAGATGGATGTTGTGTTAGTTTTTAAGGTGCTACTAGACTATTTGTTGTTTAAGTTTCTCCTGTTACAGATGAACTCTGTTAACCCACTGAAGCATGTGAGTGCTGGTTAGTGTAAGCAGCCTGTACCACAGAAGATGAGAACAGATGATGGAGCGACTCCTGCCCTCAAATTATTATCCTATGGATAGGTAAGAGATTGAATAGGGAAAGGACTTGAGGTAGCATGTTCCAGAGTTACTTATTTTATCCATCCAAAAATGTAACTGAAAGTCTGTTGTAGCCAAACATTAGCAATAACAAAGACCATTCAGGTAATTGAAGAGTCACTATTATATTTCCATTTAGCAAACTGAGCTATGGGACTGTCAGAATCTTCTACTTATTATGCAAAAGATACTCCCACGCCTGATTAATGAGCAAGATGAGGCAGCAGATGAAAAAGTTACTCCCACACCTGATTAATGAGCAAGATGAGGCAGCAGGAACAGCATTTATTGTTTAGATATAGTAAGGAAAATGAAAGCCCACAGCATTAAGACTTGTCATATATCACAGATTTAAGGGACCAAGTTGCAGAGCCTGAAACTCTTCAGAGAAATGGAGAATTGTACATAAGCCATCCAATGTCAAAATTACACATGTATGACATTACTACTCCTTGTTTCAGTGTTTCCAGCATTTTTAACTCTTCTTACATTTCCACTGAATGAAAAGTCTTTTCCACCATCCACAGCCACACAGAACAAGTTCTTCTTGTCAGCCTTTTCCACAACCTGAGTCACTGCCTGCAGGTGGTCCATGATTAAAAATGGAGTAAAAACTCTGCCAATTCTCTCAACAGATTTAAGTTGAGTAATCCCTATAGCATGTTCACCAAGATTTATAAAGTACAGAAAATGGAATATCGATAATATAACATATATGCTTTTCCCTGTTCTGAATTAAATATCACTGTTAGTTGGCTCATCCCAACGTATCCGTCACTGGTGCCTTTAAGAGGAGATGAGGCCAGCCACAATTAGTTAGCTGCTTCACAGTGTGAGAGGGTAGGACTAAGGAAGGCAGTGTGACACCTGGGCCTTATAAAATGATAGTGTGAATCAATCTGGAGTATGGCCTGGAATGGAGCAGGCTGCAGTGGAAGGCCCTAGAGAAAGGGGGTGTGTCTAGACTACATGCCTCCTTCGACGGAGGCATGTAGATTAGCCAGATCAGAAGAGGGAAATGAAGCCGCGATTAAAATAATTTCACATTCCCACAATTTTAAACCCCCCCCACAAATTTCATTATTTCAGATCTTTAAATCTGAAATTTCAGCATGTTGTAACTGGTGGGGAGCTGACCCAAAATGGAGTAGTGGGGCATTGTAAAGTAATTGTAGGAGGGCCAAGATATTGTCATCCTTACTTCTACACGGTTGCCGGAGGCGGTTTTACCTTCAGAGCTGGGCAGCCAGAGACTGGCAGCTGTTAGCCAGGTGCCTAGCTCTGAAGATCGTGTCACTGACAGCAGCAGCCCAAAAACAAAGATGGCACGGAATGGTATTGCTACCCTCATTTCTGTGTTGCTGGCTTCAGAGCTAGGCCCTCCGGCCATCCATTGCCACTCTTATTTCTGTGCTACTGCTAGCAATGCTGCTTTCAGAGCTGCGTACTGGCCAGTAGCCACCTCTTTGCTGCAACCCAGCTCTGGAGGCAGCATACAGGGGTGGGCAATACCACAACTCCCCATACAATAACCCCTCCACGACCTCCTTTGGGGTCAGGATCTTCTGCTGAAAAACACTTGTCTCCCCTGTATAATCTGTATAGCAAAGGATAAAAATACAAAAGACCAAATTGCACAGTCAGTGATGTTTTCTTCATGGCCATGAATTCGGTAGGGCCCGACCTATAGGCTAGTACTTAAAGAACATAAGAATGGCCATACTGGGTCAGACCAAAGGTCCATCTAGCCCAGTATCCTGTCTGCCAACAGTGGCCAATACCAGATGCCCCAGAGGGAGGGATCACAACAAGTAATCCTCACAGGATCTGTCCCATCACCCACCTTCAGAGAAACAGAGGCTAGGGACACCATTCCTATCCATCCTGGCTAATAGCCATTGATAGACCTAACCGACAGAACACATTACCAGGTACTGTTTATAAAAGATTACCAAAAAACAAGTTGCAAGGTATTGACACTGGTATTCCAGGATCGAATCAAATCATGTTTTTGACAATTCAGCCAGCCTTCCCAAATTTTAGAGCTCTAGAATTTCTAAAGAACTCACTTGTTGAGGGGTCTTCAGGTTTGTATTCAGACTAGATTGCTATAGGTCTGCAATAAATTATAGCTTCTGTATTCTTAAGGAGAACACTGATCAACAAGTCATGGCCTAAAAATAATGTTTTAAAAATATGTAACTGCATTTCAAAGGGTCCAATGCAGCCTAGTAATACGATTTTTGTCCTGTCCTCCATCCCCCTCTCATTAAGAAAGCTACCTGGATTCAGAACACCCAAATAGCATTTGTGTTTAGTGCCAAGCGTTAATGTAAAGCTGTGTATATGCGTACCAAGCTGAACTATAGGGAAAATGAAGAAGACTGAATTACCACTGCTCCCCCACAGGAAGAGGAACATCACACAATTATATTCTTCTGATGACGTCTTCTAATGTGCGGGTGGGGAGTGTTCCCTTACATACAAGTTTACTGTTGACACCAAGAACAGAAAAAGATATCCAAGATTTCATTTTTATTTCAAGAGATAATTTGGTGAGGTAATCTAACTAGATTTCCCAGGAACACACAGCGAAGCCCTTTTTATATTGTGTAATCTATTTTTGTAGGCTTTGACATCTGAAGGTTTTACTGTTCAATGTGATGTTCTTAACATTGCCTCAACAAGCCATCTCTCAGCGTAT